CGCTCCCCAGCATGGGTGCCGGGTCCCGCTCGCTGCTCGCCGCCTTCTTACTGCTCCTCTCCGGCTACCGCACCGTGCGCGGCGACACACCTGCCAACTGCACCTATCCTGACCTGCTGGGCACCTGGGTCTTCGAAGTGGGTCCCGGGGGTGCCCAGCGCAATGTCAACTGCTCGATTCTTGGTAAGTCTCCGACAACCCCGGCCCGCTGGCTCTTCCGCGCGGGCCTGGGGCTCCTGTGTCGCCCTTCTGCCCCTGAACCCTTCTTTTGGCAGCGCCGGTGCCAGCCATCCGCACACCCCGGGCCGACGCTTGTGGGTGGCCCGAACATGTGGACTCAGGAAGCCTTCTCCCCCGCCAGGGCCGCTGAATTAACGCTCAGCCTTCTCCCCCGCCAGGGCTGCTGAGAACTTCTGACTTCACTTTTTTCTGGGTTGTCTTGGGAACTGAGCACTTTTATCGAGAACTTTTTTTTCTTTCTAAATTTAGTATTTTTCTGGTTCGTTTGGAAGAGAGTTGGGAACTGCAGTCATGATTCCCTGGTCCAGTCTGGTAGAGCTGTGTTTGTTTGTTGTTTATTCTTGTGCTAGTGAAGACACATGAACTCAGAGACTCTCGAGGGGTCTGCAAGACGTTTTCCCCCTTGTATTAGGTTGGGGGAAAGGGCCCTTGGGCCCAGCGATTTTGATTTGGACATGTTGATGTTGCACATCCTAGGAAACGTCTGGTAATACTTTATGCTGTTTCATATATTGCAGGGAAGGAAAAAAGAAAAAAAAAGAAAGCCTTGAAAAAAAAAATGAAACTTTTGCCCATAGTTACATTTGGAACTGCCCAGAGTCAGGCACAGTGGAAGGCTCTCAATAAATAATGTTTGAATACACTGTGGATATTCCATTTGCCTTCAGAGATAACAAGGTTACCCCCAGGACAAGAATCTTGTGAAGGAGAGTGAAAAAGACCATCTCCGGCCAGAAAAGTCACACTCTTGTTCTGCCCAAACCCCTTACATCCTGTGTAGGAGTGACGCTTTTGCTGTGACTTCCTTGTCAGCAGAACGAAGATTTTCAAGTCATGTGTTACTAAAAAAAAGACCCTTTTAACTACCTAACTCCAAATGGCAGTATGGCATTTTGTAATCTGGGGCATTATGACCATCTTTTCTTTTTACAAGTTGAGTTTGGAAGCTGGAGTACAAGGAGACCAGGATTTGCACTGTCCTGTCACATGCCATCTCCCCTGTCACATGCAGTCTTTCAGTTCAGAGCATTAATCTGAAACATGGGAAAACTATCTAAGTGTGAAACTCTGCAGATGGATACATCTGAACTCTTTTCAGGCAGCCTCTGTCCATAAACCTACCTTTGGCCTTAATTCAGTGTTTAAAGACATATACAGATCTGAGCTCTCATTTTCTGAAGATTAGATAGTTAATTCCTATCAGCACAAATTAGTTTTATAGGCTAGAAACCTCAGATTTGCTGAGTACTTTGGAAGGATTCAGAAGCTGAGGTTCTAAACTGGAGAGCCATTGAGGAGAAAAATAGCCCATTTCTTCCCTGAGTAGTTCATTTCTTGCCTTCTGCTGGGCTTAACATATTGTCCTTCTTATGATCTGATAGTTTGTCTTTATTTTTGTCGTCATACCTGTTGTCCCTGTATTTCTCACTTTTTGACCGCCATGTTGTTTTCTTCCCATTTTTGCTTATAATTTTCAGTGTCCCTAATTTCCTCATTTTCTTCCATGGAAAAATGTCTTCAGTGTTTGGATGCTCTGAGAAGGTAGAGGCTGTAGTTTTGGGGGTCCCCCTGCCTGCTGGGCTACATGGTACATCTGTTTCTTTGAGAACCTTCACTTCACAGTCATGCCTGAGGTCTCAGGACTGTTGGATGCAACAAACTAAAGACTGATTTCTTCACAAAGCAGACTGCATGCAAATTATGTAACACTAAAAGAAGAGTAGTTCAATCATATAATGGAAACTGAGGGGATTCCTCCCTTCATTGAAGTCCAAATAATTTTCCTTTATTGTGTTTTCTTTAGGACCACCAGAGAAAAAAGTAGTGGTGCACCTTCAGAAGCTGGATACGGCTTATGATGACCTTGGCCATTCCGGTCACTTCACCATCATTTACAACCAAGGCTTTGAGATTGTATTGAGTGACTACAAGTGGTTTGCCTTTTTTAAGGTTAGTTTTGTTGAAAAATGCACTTATATCTTCAGTGATTTGATATCTGAAGCTCTTCTGATTAGGAGACCCTCAAGATTTAATTTGAGATAAAGAAGATAACCAGAATTGCCACCGTTCTTCCCAAGGGAAACTAGGTGGTATAAATTTGCCACTTTATTTAAAATTATGATTTTAGTAGGATTAAAAAATTTCTGAATCTGTATTTGAATATGCACAATCTACTATGCTTGAATTTACATCTTTGTAGGTGTGACTGCATTATTATTATTATTTTTTGAGTTGGAGTCCCACTCTTTCACCCAGTCTAGAGTGCAGTGGCATGTTCACGGCCACTGCAGGCTCAACCTGCTGGGCTCAGGTGATCCTTTTCACCTCAGTCTTCCAAGTAGCTGGGTCTATAGGTGTGTGCTAAAACGCCTGGCTAATTTTTTGATTTATTGTAGAGATGTGGTCTCACTAAGTTGCCCAGGCTCGTCTTGAGCCTGTGAGCTCAGGCAGTCGTCTCACCTCAGCCTCCCAAAGTGCTGGGATTATAGGCGTGAGCCACCATGCCCGACTAACTACATTCTGAATTTATTTATTTTTAATTATTCCAACTTTATTTTGAAACGTTGCCATAGTCACTTGCTTTGTACTTAATCTGAAGGAAAACTATTGAGATTAGAAATATTGCTTTTTTTGGAGTTATTACAGTATCATTTTTATCATTGCCTGTTGGGTCTGAGAGACTGACCTAAATGACTCATTGAAGTAATATAATGTACTAAATATATTAAAATGAATAATTTATTTGACTAATTAAGAGAACAAGACAGAGAACGTAGTGTGACTACCTGAACTGGTGACTATAAAAGTTAGCCCAGCCAGTCCAGGTTGTTTTTTTCTCTCGCTAGGAAAGAACGATTGTCCACTCCTGTGTAATAGCACAATGTTTCCAATTGCAGAAACACTCTTATGTTAAAATAGTTGAGCCTGATTTCAGTCCATCCCATTTGTTCTTCTAAAGCTGGGTCTTCTCCTGTAAGCAATAATACTTAAGCTTGCATCATGAAGGAGAGCATCCAAAAGTAAAAATTAAATGGTTCAAGTAAATTGAATCCACAAGCCTAAAACTAGCTGTTTCCAATTATACATAGAGTATAAAATAAAGACAGGATTTTTCATGGGAAAGGATTACAGCCTTTAAAACAATCTGACAAGAGTTGGCCAATTCTAGGGAATTCGTGGGAAAGTGGGGAACGAGTCTGTTCAAAATTACAGAAGACAAAGCACCAACAAAAGTCTGACTTCTAAATTTGTTTTAATTTCTCACGTGAGTTGTGGTTTATTACCAGTGTATGGTGTTTCATCTGAGCCAAATGTATTTCTTAGAATAATAACTCTCAGCATTTAAAAAAAAAAATAAGGACCTCTCTTTAATATGAAAAAGAAAGAAAAGAGGAGATAAGAAGAAAACATTTCCTTTCCTTAACTGATTAGGCTGGTCTGACATTCAGCTGGTGGGAACCAGTCAGTTCGTGCCAACTGCTGATGGCCAGCAGTCCACTGGATTAGTTGAAACCATAACAAGTTATTAAGTTAATAAGTTATTAACTTATTTTTAAAGATGTGGAATCATCAAAGCTTAATAGTATTCACCGTTCAATTTTAAGTTATGTAAACTACAGCATGGTCTATTCAGTCTACTACTGCTGTAACAGAAATAGCTGACAAATATTTGTATACCTGACATCATTGTTCTATACATTGTTATCCTACAATCAATTGAATTTCCATATCTCTCCACTGACCCATATCGGTCTCTGTCACTTGCTTGCTTTTATCCTCTTCAGGTATGCTTTTATCAGTTGTTCCTTATTACCATTCCTATTACTAGAGTTTGTCGAGTAATTGAAAATTGAAGGGTATTTATGATATTATGAAATATATAGATTTTCATCTACCATTCCTGGCTATGACTCCCATAGCCCTTGTTACAGAAAACAAAATCTCTGTTGCCTTCTCCTGTCCTTCTTCCATCTGGGAGTAATATAATTAATTAAGAATACTTAGCCAGGCTCGGTGGCTCAGCCCGTAATCCCGCGCCTTTGGGAGGCTGAGGTGAGTGGATTGCCTGAGCCCGCGGGTTCGAGACCCGCCTGGGCAGCGAGACCTCAGCTCTACAATAAATCACAAAATCAGCCGGGCGTGGTAGCGCATGCCTGTAATCCCGGCTACTCGGAAGGCTGAGGAGGCAGGGTCACTGGAGCCCAGCAGGTCGAGGCTGTGGTGGCCAGGAGCGTGCCAGGTCGAGGCTGTGGTGGCCAGGAGCGTGCCACTGCACTCCAGTCTGGGCAACAGAGTGAGACTCCAACTCAGAAAAAAATAATAATAATAATTAGTGGAAACATTTTTAGAGGCATTCATATTCAAATTTATTTGGAAACATTGCTGGCCAAAACAGAAGATAATATTCTCTATAGCTATGAATAATCTGAACAGAAAGAACTTCTTGGATTTAGAAGGCATCCTTTTTATCCAATCGTATTTCAACATGGTTGTCCATGCTCCGATCATACCTATCCAGTGAAGTCTCCATAAAAGACCCACGAGAACAGGGTTCACGGGACTTTGAGAGAGGGAAACAAGTGGAAGCTGACAGGAAGGTGTACGTAAACTAACCTGTGTGCCGGGAAGGAGGTGTCGTACCCCAGCTTCACGAAGATGGAAGCCCTTGTCCTATGAATCCTTCCTGGACTATCCCTACATATCTCTTCAATTGGCTGCTTCTTTATATCCTTTAAAATATCATCTGTAATAAGTCAGTAAATGTTAAGTGATCATTTTACTAAGCTGCTCCAGCAAATTAATCAAACCCAAAGATAGGATCCTGGGACTGCCCCCCTCAACTTGAAGCCAATTGGTCAGAAGTTCTGGAGGTCCGGGACTTGCAACTGGTGTCTGAAGGGGCAAGGTGACAGTCTCGGGGGACTGAACTTTCAACCTGTGAATCTGACACTGTCTCCTGATCAGTGTCAGAACTGAATTGGGGGACACTCAGCTGGTGTCCGCCGCAGAATTGCTTGCTTTCTTGCTGGTGGGGAGAAATCCATACATATTTTGCCATCAGAGAAGTCTTGTGTGGATTATTGTTGTTGAGAGTCTAGGAGAAAGCATGGTGAATGATGTCTTTTCCATACCATAGTATTCTTTTAAGCTCCTCCTTCTCCTACTGCTCGCTCAGCACCCTGCAACTCAGCTTCCTGGTCATTCTCTGTCTTCCAGCTCCGAAGCAATTATAATACCTAGCAGTTCCTCATTTTTCATGATTTAAGATTTCTAAGTCTCTTTTTACTTGGTTTTAATTTCTTGAGAAATTGGAGGTGGAGTTGGAATAATCTAATTTTTTTTTTACATGCGACTTCAGGTTAGATAAGTGCTTGCAAGGAGATAAATTTTGACACTGAGAATTTCTGCATAATTTGAATTGAGCAGGAAGCATTAGGCATATGTTTTTAAAAGTTACTTTTTCCTATTTAGTTTCTTCCAGGCATTTCATTATTTGAATACTTAATAGGAGTTACAAACTCAGATTCATTTAAGACCAACCTAGGTGGGTACCTAAGCATTTGAAATAAACTTACGTAAAACAATTAAGAACAATTAATTAAGGCCTGTGGCAAAATGGAAACATTCTTAGAGGCATTCCTAGTCTAATTTATTTGAAAACACTGCTGGCCAAAACAGAAGTTTCTAAGATAATAAGATTTTTTTTTTTCTTTGAGTTGGAGTCTCACTCCATTGCCCAGACTGGAGTGCAGTGGCACGCTCCCAGTCACTGCAGCCTCAACCTGCTGGGCTCCAACGATCCTTTCACCTCAGCCTTCCAAGTAGCTGGAACTACTGGTGTGCACTACCACACCTGGCTAATTTTTTTGATTTATTGTGGAGATGAGGTCTCGCCAAGTTGCCCGTGTGGTTCTCAAACCCGTGGGCTCAGGCAATACACTCACCTCGGGCCTCCCAAAGTGCTGGGTTTACAGACTGAGCCACCAAGCCCAGCCAGATATCAGATTTTAATAGCATTTGTCATTTGGTTATACTTGACACACAAGCTAATTTGCATCCCTTCAAAGTATCTGCAGCCAACCTCTTATATAAAAACAATGCAATAAAACAGAACACTATATAAGTGCTTAATATGCCTGACTATGTATGGGTGGATAAATGATTAGTTTTTCTTTTTTAAGCTCTTATGTGTTTTTTTGTTTGTTTGATCATGTGTGAAGTTCCTCTGTACAGCATCCTCTACTATGTTGCTCACGGGAAGAAAGTCATCTGAAAGTTTACTCCAAAGAATGACCCGAAGTCCTGAAGTTGAATGACCTTACTGTCTTATTACTCTTTCTCATTTTACTTTCTCTGAGGCAATAAAAGAAACTGACTGGAAAGGAGAGCAGTAGAGAAGGAATTTAGAATTTATTTTGAGGATCAAGTTACTCAAGGACTGAGGAAAATATACAGGAAGGAATGACAATCATTATGTCTGAAAATTTTACTTGTTGATAGTCAAGCAAATTTTTTTTTAACAGTTTCATTCTGTTGCTAAGGCTGGAATGCATTGCCACAATCATAGTTTACTGCGGCCTCGACCTCCTAGGCTCAAGGTATTCTCCTGCCTCAACTTCCAGAGTTGCTGGGATTACAAGCTTGTGCCACTATGCCTGGCTAGTATTTTTGTTTTGTTTTTTTTGAGTTGGACTCTTACTCTGTTGTTCAGACTGGAGTGTGGTGGCATGCTCACGGCTACTGCAGCCTCAACCAGCTGGACTCAGGAGATCCTTCCGCCTCAGCCTTCCAAGTAGCCAGAACTACAGGTGTGCGCTACTATGCCTGACTAATTTTTGATTTTATTTTATTGTAGAGACGAGGTCTTGCCAAGCTGCCCATGCTGATCTCAAACCCACAGGCGGCAATCCATTCGCCTCTGCCTCCCAAAGTGCGGGGAATACAGGCTA